CTAGAGGTTAGTTTTTAGAGAGAGAGAGAGAGACTTGGCTAGAGATTAGAGAGAGAAACATACAATTTGGGAAAGTTCTTCCACTTATCTAGGGTTTCTACCAAGAACACAAGAGGAGGAGGAGGAGGAGGATTTCTACCATGGAGATAGCCCTTGAGGGTTAAATGACAACATCAATGAGTGGCTAAACCATTCTCTTGGGGCTAAAGATAGCCTTAAGCATGCCTCTTAGACTTTGATGTTTTGTAATTAATGGGGATTTGTGTTGTAATTCTTGTCTTGACATCTTATATATATAAATCTTGTTTCTACAATGATTTATGTAGTTTAATACTTTCAATTAATCATTTAATTCTATCCATATGTCTATGTATGCTAGAATTAATGTTCATGTGTTTATTTCTAGATTTTGTGACATTGATGCATGTCTGTGTGTTAATATTATGAATTTAGTGATGGTCAAGGCATGGTACTTAAATAGATTACTCTTGTGGTTTGTTTAATGGTTCATACTTATTTCTTGATAGATTGTGCCACCTTCTTAGTTTAATTAGTTTAATTTTCATATCACTAGCTTAGTTGTAGTGTAATTGCCTTACTTTCTTAGATAGGTGGGCAATCCATTCTTGTTGTTTGATGTTCCATGCTTATGAATGCAAGTGGTATATTTCTCTAATTTAATGATTGTGCATTAATTATAGACTTATGGAAGGATTAATGGCTTAATTTGATATGTTGTGCTATTCACTGATTGACTAGACAATGTATGCTTACTTGGCCATCCACGCTTAATAATTCAATTAATGGCACACACTTTCATTTACAACACACAATCCCCCTAATTTATCAAATATTGAATGTCTAGGAAGATTATGCTTAGTGGTGAACTCTATAACCCAAGACTCCTCTCTCATATGATTTACACCTCATTTGTTTTAGTTGTTTTACATTGCATTTCTTTAGTTTAAAGTGTAGTCTAATTCAACCAACAAACCCTCTTTTAATCATTCAACCCACTAATCTAACGTTGATTCCAAAATACGCTACCTTTCCCTTGGGACGATCCCTACTTACTTTAACTACATTAATAGTTAGTAATGGTAATGGCATTCTATAAATTCAAACTTGGCCACACTTCACATTTCACACACCACTTTTATGATTTGGTCCAACGACACAACAATAGCGTGTAATGAATCGCACATTGAAGATTCGACATTGTGAAGGTCATTGTACACTTGAACTCTAGGACATGGTTTATGGGGATTCAACCTTACTTGTGCATGTAAATTGATTCCTAGACATTATTTGAGTTTGTATAAGTTTAGTCTAACTTATTGATTTTGTATAAGTTTTGAACTTTTGATTTTGGAAGGCTTGTAAGGAAAAGGAACAAGTGATGGCTAGAGTGTGGCTCTAGTACGGTGACAAGAGTCTCCTTAGTCATATGAAGTGCACCTAGGTAGTACCTTGTGGGAGTAATCGCCTAGAATCACTTATACATGGCGCACTAAGTAGTACCTTGTGGAGTAATAGCCCGGAATAACTTGCTTGGTTAGTAACCAAGTATTCCTAGTCCTTCCACTATTTGACTTAATTTCGCATTCATTTCCAAATAGCTAATTATGGATTACTTGTAGCTTGTGAATTGGTGCTTGCCTTGTGTATTTAGATCTCATTTAGTATACTTGAAACCGTATACTTGCTTCATGTATTTAGATCTCATTCAGCATACTTAAACCTGTATTCTTGTTTGTGTATAAGAACCTCCTTTAGTGTGCTTGAATTCGTATACTTATGCCTTGTGTGTTTGTTTTGTGGAGTCGGATTTCATTTTAGTATACTTGTGCCGTGTATACTTATTTTATGCTTACTTCGCTTAGCTTGGTATACTTGTGCTTGTATATTTGATTTACGAGTTTCTCTATATCATTAGTATACTTGTGTATGTATGCTTAGATATTGCATAACTTGTTTTAGTATAGTTTAGTATACTTGAAAATGTATGCTTATATGTCGTATAACATGTTTTAACATTGTTTAGCATACTTGAGCACGTATACTTATATGCCGTAGCTCATTTCAATTGCATTAGTAGTTTAGGATGATCCCTAAGTCTCACTTATGACATAGACATTAGGTAGTATGATCCTTTTGAATTGCTTCATGTAAATGTAATAACCTTGTAAAAAGTTAGGTCGATGCATGCTCATTCCCTACAAGTAACTTGTTTACTCACCCCAAAGTTATCGGGCTGTTTTCAGGTACAGATGCCTTGATTCAGGATGCACAACATCCCTAGGTCGTTTCGATGGATTGAAGTTCTTTTAAGTGTATTCTTGTTCACATGCAAGTGTTAGCATGCTTGAGTTTCACTTTTTAAGTGTATTGTATAGTTAGGCCAAAATGTCATTTTTGCCTTGGAACTTGTAATGTGTGCTAAAACACACTTTTTGACGTTCATTTAATGTATATGATGTGTGGCCAAGGGCCAAACTTCTTTTGAAATCACATAAATGTAATAAATGTATAATTTTGCCTTAAATGGAAATAATATGAAAACTATACGTTTTAACATGTCATTTTTGCACCAGAGTGTGCATTGGGTATGAAATTCATTATTTAGCATTCATTTAATATGTATGAGGTGTGGCCAAGGGCCAAACACCATTTTGTTTTAGATTTTACAATTGAGTTTCATAAATTGCATTTTTAGGCTAAAATAGGAAAATCCGAGCCTTTAAAGGTTCTTTTTCAAATTGTGTGGTTCAAAGTGTGCACGAGCACATTCACTAGGACTCATTCAATATGCATGAAGTGTGGCCAAAGGTCAAACAGTCTTTTGATTGCATTTAGATCCTGTTGTTACATTTTTTGCCTTTGAAGGGCATTTTTCCCGCATTGGGGTTTGGATAGGTCATATTTTGCATCGGCGGTATTTTTAAGCCGTGGTTCATTGTAGTATGTCCTAATAGGTAAGTTACATCTGCGTGCATGATTATTTCCTAGAAAAACCCTTTCCTTGGTGAAATGAGCCTCCTACGGACTCATTTTATAATTTTCTTGCATATTCTAGTTTAAGGGCATTTTGGGATTTTCTTTCAGGAAATAAATTCCGGTCTTGACTTTGTCACATAGAAAATGTGATTTTAGGGGGGCTTTCTTCACGGAATTTTTCCAAAAAATGTCATCTTGGTCTCGGAAATCCCAATCCCAAATTTTTCTTTTTTTTTCATTTTTTCCAATAAAATCTGTTGCAGCATGCTCTCGGCTCAAAGGAGCCGACTCGGTTCTTAAAGGAGCTGGCTCTTTCTTCAACTGAACTGACTCGGTTCACAAAGGAGTCGACTTGGTTCACCTGGGCATCATTTTCTTCATTTTGCAGGCTCTTGGTCTAAGGGAGCCGACTCAATTCTCAAAAGAGACGACTTAGTTCATTCTGGCATCATTTCCTTCATTTTTCATGCTCTTAGTCCAAAAGAGCCAACTTGGTTCTTAAAGGAGCCGACTAGGTTCATTTACGCCTCATTTTATTCATTTTTGGTGCTCTCGGCCTAAGGAAGCCAACTTAGTTGCCAACTGAGTCGACTCAGTCTACCTGCCATGATGACCTGTCTTTCAATGGTTATAACTTGCTCATTTTAGGTCCAAATTAGGTCATTCTTGAGTCTAACTTCAAGAGCTTGAAGTCATATTTCCAATGGAACCAACCACACACTGAAAATCCAACTGTTATGAGAGTTTTGATAGTTTTAGTGAGATAGGGTTGTGGTACCTCTTAATCGAAGGACGCCGTTTTGTCCTATTTTCATATCTTTGTTATCCAGACTCCAAATCAAGCGATTGTTGAGTCTAATTTCATTAATTTTTTGTTGTCTTTCCAATGGTATGCACGGTGGCACCTATTTCATTTTGGAATGACCATTTTTCCCTTGGTCTATTCTTTCAAGGGTTTTAAAACCCTAACTTCGGTCTTACTTCTGCTAAGTCATGAAACTCTTCGGAAGGCCATTCTTATGTCTTAGGGATGACGTACATCTCTAAAGACTTATTTTTGTTTTGCTTCCAAATTTTGGATCCGTTTCGGGTCATCACAGGATGCATTGGGTTTGTAAAATCCAGGGCCGTCACACTATATAAGGGAATTAACCATTTTTGGCAAAAAGGTTGGACAATTTGCAAGATTAGAATTAAAATTAGAATTAGCATATTTTGGGACACTCTCTCTATACATTCATACACTCTCTCTCTAGGATTTCAACCAATGAAGAAGAAGAAGAACCAAAGCTTAGAGATGGATTGTGAAGCTACCTTGATGACATCTACCTTCTCTATGAGTGGCCAGTTCTTCACTTGGGGCTTGGATGAGCCCTAAGCATATGTAATTAAACATTTGTCATTCAATTGAGCGCTTTAAAGCACGATTAATTACCAAAGGATACAACCAGTTGGAAGGTATTGATTTTACTGAAACCTTTAGTCCTGTTATTAAACCTACCACAATTCGTCTTGTTTTTTTCTTTTACTACTGTTTGTGGTTGGTCCATAAGACAACTTGACGTAAAAAAATACTTTCTTGTGAGGTGACCTTAGAGAAGTTGTCTATATAGAGCAACCACCCGGTTTTTTTTATCCTTGTTTTCCCACTCATGTGTGTCGCCTTCGTAAGGCTATTTATGGCCTAAAACAATCTCCCCGAGCTTAGTTTGATCGCTTTAGTTTGTTTCTTATTCGTATTGGTTTTACTTGTAGTTATGCTGACTCTTCCTTATTTATTTTTCGCTCTCATGGTAACCTCATCCTCTTGCTTGTGTATGCTGATGATATTATTATAACAAGTATCTCTTTTGTCTAGTCTTATTTCCCGTCTCAATTTTGAATTTTCCACGAAAGATTTAGGTCCTCCACATTATTTCTTAGGTATTGAAGTTGTTCCCTTCTCTGGCGGTATTTTCCTATCTCAGTTTAAATATGCTCGCGACATTCTTTCCAAAGCTTCCATGACTGGTTATAAACCTCTTGGAACCCCTCTTGCTCAAAAGCATAATCTTCACATGGTGGATGGCCCGGTGGTGGATGCTACCAATTATCATAGCTTAGTTGGTGCTCTACAATATCTGACATTAACTCGGCCCGATTTGAGACATGTTGTTTCCATGGTTTGCCATTTTATGCACCAACCTGGGGTCCCTCATTTTCAGGCTGTTAAGTGTATATATTACGCTATTTACAAGGCACATTGGATCATGGTATTCAGATTTTATCATACTCTTCCTTAAATCTTTATGGTTTTTCTGATGCTAATTGGGTGGGTTGTCCTAATACTCGTCGCTCCACCACTGGTTATTATATCTACTCGGGTGCTAATTGCATCTCTTGGGCTTCTAAGAAACAAGCTACAGTTTCTCGTTCTAGTGCCAAGGAAGAATACCGATCCATGGCAACCATTTCTACTGAAATCACTTGGATTTCTTATATCCTTCGAGAAACTGGACTTGGAATGTCCTCTCCTCCGGCCAGCACTTTTTTGTGATAACAATAATGCACTTCATATGATAGTGAATCCGGTATTTCATGCCCGTACCAAGCATATTGAACTAAACTATCATTTTGTTCGTGAAAAGGTTGCTAATGGTACCCTTGTTACATGTTATGTCCAATCTACCTCTCAAATTGCTGATATCTTCACTAAAGCCTTGTCTAAGGATGTCTTTCATGCTCTGCAGTCCATGCTTGGAGTCCTGCCACCGGCCCACCGCCACCCTCCAACTTGATGGGGAGTGATATGGATGATCACCAACGGTTACATTGCCAATCAACATTGTCTTGAGCTTAGCATTATTCTTGCAGCAAATATCTCTTGGTTTATGAATAGTTTCCCTAATTTATGGGTCTGTGATTGATTGCTTAATTTATGGGTGAGATTGTATTGAGATTGTGGCTTTGATCACTCAGATCCTATATAAGTAATACAAGTCAGAATACGCAAATTACATTTTCTATGATAGCCTTTTCCTCTCATTTTATTTTCTTCCTAAACCTAGAATTTCTTCACTAACACCACCATCAGGGATTAATTCTTCATTCAATAAGATAGAAGGAAAGAACAAACATCTTTGGTTCGGTAGCGATGATATAAGGAGAAAATATTATAGGATAGATGAGTCATCATTCCTCTTTACAAAATTTCATCTATCTAAATATGGACGACGAGAGAAGAGAAGATAACTAAAGCTTTTATAAGGGTTTTAAATTACAATATTATCTTTCATAAATGATAGAAAAACTCTAAATATGAATATAATGGTCACAATAATTTAAATCATTTCCCTTCTCTCATAACGAATAAAGTAAGTTATTGTCAACTTTTTTCTTTTCTTCCATCTAATGATACACAATTTATTCTTTAGGATGTCTCAACCATCAATTATTCTCTTCATTCCATTCAAATTTTTTTTTTTTTTTTTTACCCAATGAAAATCTCAATTTTTATTTCATTATCAATTAAATTAAATTGAATCATGGGCTCCACAAAACCATGTAGTCCGATTGCAATCTAACCAACCCCAACACAACGGTTTAGAATCTCCACATGGTTCGTATTTAAAGCAACATTATCTACATTATCTGCTAGAACCTAGATCTACAAAATCTCTGCTAATATAAAAAAATAATAATAATAATTATAAATAAAAAATAAAAAATAAAAAAAAGTTAATGTGTGGTGAATAAAAGTTCTTGAGAGGGATTAAGGTTGATTTGAGTCTATCCGTCCACAACTTTGATGGCTCAAAACCTATTTGTACTACATTTAAAATACTTTATATTGACACTTGAGAGCAATAAATGATATGATAATATCCTCAAAAAGTTGCCTCAGACAATTAGTGGTGATACGTATGTTTTTCTTTTATTTAATACTTCCACTATTAATATTCATATAATAGAAGATATAAATGCCTTTGTTTTTTTGATCCAATTGCAATACAAATACTAGAAACCTTATCTTCTTTTGGGCTGGACTACCACTTGCTGATTTTATTGCTCTGTGGACCCGCATTGAGAAAAAGACTGGAAAATGGGGCTCTCTTCTCTTTATGGAGACTAATTAAACAATGTGGGGCACATGCTTTTCCCTTGATGTAAATTTTTGTATTAGTGTGAACCATTTGATAGATCACAGTAAAAACACATCCTCAGACACACAATCACACAATCATACATACAATCATACATACGCGCGCGCGCATTGAGAAAAAGACTGGAAAATGGGGCTCTCTTCTCTTTATGGAGACTAATTAAACAATGTGGGGCACGTGCTTTTCCCACATCCTCAGACACACACAATCACACAATCATACATACAATCATACATACGCGCGCGCGCATTGAGAAAAAGACTGGAAAATGGGGCTGTCTTCTCTTTATGGAGACTAATTAAACAATGTGGGGCACGTGCTTTTCCCTTGATGTAAATTTTTGTATTGGTGTGACCCATTTGATAGATCACAGTTAAAACACATCCTCAGACACGCACAATCACACAATCATACATACAGCCGCGGCGGGGTAAATACACATTTATTTAGGAATAGCAATTTGTGTTGATGACCTATTTAATAATCGTGTTAAAAATTTTAAATATTAACATAACTTATTTATTAAATGAGTAAACATGTTAATTCGTTTAATGACCTGTTTATCAAAGCGAGACCTTTAATATTTAATTAAATAATAAATAATAGAAAAAATTTGTCACAATTAACTTGAATATTTAAAATAAAAAGAAAAATCATAAGGCGTAGATAAGATTTATGTTGAAATGACTTAACTATTCATAATAATTGGATTTAAATAGATAACATATTACATATGTCATATTCACAATTATAACATGTTGAGTTAAACAGGTCATTAACGGGTTACACAAGTTGAACCCCTTAACCCTAATTCGACACGATTAAATAAATGGATTAATCGTGTTAACCCGTTTATAATCCGAACCTATTTAAAATCAACCAAAATCCTCTAATTTCGTGTCGTATTCATATCGTGTTAGTGAGTCGTACCATAATTTGTCACCCCTATATTTATTATATAATTCGAATACTCAATCTCCTCATGAGATATGAGAGCTTCTGTCATCTAAATTAGTATCCATTAATTATTCACTCCGAATATTAATACGGCTAAATATCATTGTTATCATTGTTCCAAGTATAAATTACTTTGCAACAAGAATTTGGCACAAAAATTACAGACAGAAAGATGTGCTAGTGTGTCTTTCAGAAAATTAAAAAAGGATACACTAACTCAAATATACTACAATTTTTTAATGGAATTTTTTACTTGGAACTTCTATTTGTATAGCATTACCCAGTTTAATAATGTAAACTTTGACACTTGCTGTCGAGTAATAATTTGATATTGAAGCATAGAATTAACTATACATAATTTCCCCATGAATAGGGACAAGTACCACTGACTCTCAAAGAAGTTGCATAAAGTGAAAAAAAAATATTAAAAATTATATAAGATATTAGATTATAACAAATGGCTGAATTTTATAGCTCAGGCTATGTTGCATTGGTTGTTTGGAAAGGATATGAAAGTTCTATACTAAACTTGTTCATTTATTCTGTATTCTATTAATTTTTTATTCACATGCATGGACATGAATTGACCATAATTTTTTTTAAATTGTCTTTATTTTCTTGATCTACACAAAAGTTTAAAACTAATCATGTCAAATCTATGAGTGCATGTTAGAATTCATATCAAATCCATGGCGCGTGGGGTTTGTTTAAATAGTGAAGCTTAGAACTTAATGTTTCGTGATACATTAAATCGTAAGACTGGATTATTTCAAGTGTGATTAATTTATTAGGACCAACAGATATATTCTGAATTTTATCCGATTTATGTAAAGAGATAACTTTACATGACTTTCGCTGGCTACTCGAGGCAAACCTTCAGAAAAATCCTTTAAAAGAGCAATAAAGTGCGAAGAAAGTAGTGGCCTTTCAACTATAATAATATCACATTATTCATGACTTGGAAAGTGGCTCTCAATTACCATACTGCTGCTTTAGCATGATATCTAGTATCTACAAATTGGAGCGTGTCCCATCTACTTTCAAGACGGGTGGGAGCTAGCAATTGCATTCTCTACGACACTATGTTGCATATGCATTGCTCGTTTGAAAACGGTATAGAAGTTTTTATTCATATTGCATGGATATGAATTGAACATAAAATTTTTAAAATTATCTTTATTTTCTTGATTTTTTAAAAAATTGTCTTTATTTTCTTCATCTATCACAAAAGTTTAAAATTAATCATATCAAATCTACGAGTACATGCTAGAATTTATATTAAATCTATGACCAGTGGGATTGGCATAAATGGGGAAGTTTGAGACTTAGTGCTTCATGAAGCATTAAATCTCAAATTTGAATTTTCACGAGTGAGATCAATTTATTAGAGATCACGATCGCGGATATAGTTCGAGTTTTGCACGAATCCCATCTCGACAATCAAAAAAAAAAATTTCAAATGAAAATAAATGATTGAAATCCTTTGAAGGTCAATAAAGTGGAAAGAAAGTAGTGGCCTTTCAAGTATAATTATGGCATGATTCATGTTCTTGGAAAGTGATTCTCAATTCCCTGATTTAAGAGAAATTACTATTAATTGCAGACCCTTGTATTGAAAAAATAATTTTACAAAAGTGTATTAATAAATTATAAATTTTTATTATCAGAAAATTTTTATTGAATTAACTTACTAAATATCAAATAGAATATGACCATTTAATAATTTCCCCAGCTTTAGCATGATATGTACAAATTGGAGTGTGTCCCACCTTCTACTTTCAAGATGGGGTGGGAGCTGGCAATTGCCTTCTGTCGTGCATAACGACAAGACTATTCGCATTTATATAACTTTAGGTTGGAAGCTACTTTCTAAAAAATGAGTATAATTCTCAACAGTCTACAAGGATTGTTTTGGCAGTTAATATATATATATATATATATTTCCTCTCGCATTTACGGTCAATTAATGCTCGTCACCGACTATTTTTGCTTTGTTAGTGTTGCATCCTAAGATTTTTTGATCACAAACTTTGCACAGTGCTTACTTGGAAGCTTACACTCGCAAGCTTTGTCTATCATCACAGCCATCCAGAACCTTGAAGATGATTATTGACTTTGTATATCATCACAGCCATCCAGAACCTTGAAGATGATTGTTGACTTTGGATTAAACGGTGTAGTTGTCCATTTGCAGAGACCATTGCCAATGAGTACGTGCAACTTACCTAGTTCATTATGTGACCCCACGAAGATGCAAGAGATTCACTCATCTTTCTCTCTCTAGAATTCTTACACTTCAACAAAATAAAAATTCCAAAAAATCATCCTCCCCTTTCTCTACTCGTAATGATCTATTTATAGACCATTACAAATACTTTAACCAACTTATTACATAGGGCTCCTAAACAAGGGCTTTCTTCCCTTTTGGGCCTGACTT